AGAAAATATAATTAAGGGGGGAAAAAAGATGTTTGAAAAGCATGTACTTGCTCAGTCTACAAGGTTGATTCTTCTGGTACTGCTTTATTATATTGTTCTGTGAATGAGCATTACTGGACAGGAGGATCATCCCTTACTTTTGCTCCTGTATGTCTGAAACACTGGAAGTTGGCTGCAGCAGCAAAAGCAGCAGAACCCAGTGTCTCTCCAGTTACAATCCTTACTGTCAGACCACTGTGGCAGGTCTGGAAAATCTGCTTTGTGTACATGCCCAGGCAGTGCCATACGAAATACCAGTGGTTGTTAGTATTAGGGCTGTACAGGGAACAGCGCACATGGGCTCCTCCTCCACAAGTCAGGCTTTGTAGGGAGTAACAGGCAGACAGTCATTGGCAAGGCTTAGTGAATACTGAGAGGCAACCACCCTTACCAGGGGATCCTTCAGATAAGATTATATTCTTGCTCCTGCTTGAACTCACAGAGGCAATTGTGTTTCTTGGGCTTGAAGACAAACTCCTGGATGCCATGATTTGCCCAGTCCCTTCCTTTACAGTAACAGAGAGGTGCATTGTGTTTAAACATAGAATGAGAATTAAGAAGTCTTGTTCTGAAACAGATTTTCTGTGTGACCTTGAACACTTAATCTCTCCTTGCTTCTTTTCTCATCTGTACAACAGGGATAATAATGTTTATTGACCACACAGGGGGCTATAATGCTAAATTAATTAATGTTATAAAGCACTTTGATTCTCTTAGATTAAAGGTTTTCTAAAAGTATGAAGCATAGCTATTTATTATCTGCATTTTCTTCACTTTGTATTCGAGCTCTATGAATTCTACTTCAACTTTTTCTTAAAAATTATTTGTCCTAATTATCTCATTTGTGTGAAAAAGAAGAAATTGATAAAACCTAATGATTGCATAGAAACTAATGTTTGGAAAGACGGGTCTAAATTTCATAAAATTATGTGTACTTCCCCACAACTAACATGTTTATGGATCTTCTTGAACAATGTTTCTTCTTTTTGGTGACTTTCCAGTGCGGTCTTTTCTTCTTTAGGTGCTGTTTAAGGTATCCATGAGCTCACACAAATGGGCAAGAGTATGCACTCCTGCTCTTACAATTTGACTTCCATTTCTTTGATTATATTTTATATAATCTATTCCTTCTTTTTTAATTCCATTCCTCTCTTGCTGACTTTTCTTCTATTTGGCAGACCTTTTTTTCCCTTTACCCTTGCAAGAATCCCAAATCCACCAATGAAGTTTGTATACACTGTCATTTGTATTTGCTATTTCACTTTTTTTTTTTCCCAGTGAGACAGGGCAGGCAGCATGCTGTGCTGGATATCAGTACAGTGCACCTCAGATACACTGAAACAATTTGACTTCACCTTATGTCATTTCTAGAATATATTTTCTTTCTCTTAGCAATGAGCCAGCGCAGGAATTTGGCTAGATTTTGCCACATTTCTGAAGCACTGTGTAGCTAAGTGCTTCCAGAACATCTGATGCTACTGTTCTTGTGTTCAGCAGCCTACTGAAAGTGTGAGATATGAAGCAGATTATCTAACACCCAAATACTGGCTTGTCTGAGACTTAGATAAGGATATGATTTAAATATCCTGTATGTATCCAATCTGTAAAAAGTGGTGGCACTGCAAAAAAATAAATTATAGATTGCATTGTAGGTAAATTCTATGGTGTAATCACTTCAGATGAGTTTGAAGTGCTGTTTCCTATACTTGCTTCTGTATTCCTATTTTTCTGCTCCTTACTATTTCTTAGATAAATTGGGATTAACTTTTCTATGCCTCATTGCTTACCCTAGTCATTTCCTGAATTTCAAAAATGTCTTTGAACGTGTCTTTGTTAAAAATAATAATAAGCTATTAAGCTAGCTTATTCAACATGCTCAAGTCAAAAGATATGTACAATCATTAAACTGCAGTGAATGAATGGATTTTGTAAGCAGGCAACTTGTTCATTGGAATTTGTTGAGCTCTACAGAATAAGCCAAGTTTGAAGAAAAAATATATACTTAATGACTTTGAAGTTAAAAAATTTGAAGGGCTTTTTGATGAATATGGAGGATGATTTTCTCTATTCTGTTCACAGCTTAGACCATTAGGACAAAGATGGACTATAAATGTTAACATGAAATTTTCTGAGGCCTGGCCTCTAATTCTGCTTCAGAAGGAGGTGGGGAAGAGAGATTAAGAAATTCTAACACTAATTCTGGGTTTGATTTAAATGCTGATTTATTTAATCTTACTATAACTCTGTTTCTATAAAAATCCTGCCTTGCAATGACTGTGAAATTTCCCAATATTTATAACACATTATAGAAAACTAGTAGAGAGATTGTGGTAAGAATGTGTCCCACATGTTATAAGGTTCCCCTTAGTCCCGATGGACAGCATAATAGCAGTGACTGGGAAGCGTCCATATCCCTGCATACTGGTGTTCCCTGCACCAGAGGGGTGACTTGAAAAGAAAGTAACTTTGTCTACTGACAGAAGAACATTGGTTAAATCAGGAAATGAGTTAGGGTGTTCAGGGAACCAGCTGAGCTTCCAGGTGTGGTGGAACATTTTCCCTTTTGTCACTGAGAAGCATTCCTTCCAGCTGTAGCCTCACATGCACAGGGACCGGTGCTGTCCACCTCAGAGACGGAAGTGGTGAAAGTGCTGTGCTGCATGCATAATTTTGCTTATATAAATGGAAAATGTGATGATGGTTTGTTTTGCTGAATTTGGACGTAGGAATGCAGGATGCCAACTTCAGTGAGAGATCCCCTAGGACTTTAACTTAGCCTAATGATTGTACATCGGAATGACTGCTGCTTCGAAGTAGTTCAACAACAGTTAACCAGTTAAAGGGGTGTGAAACTGTGCTTTCAGTCTTCAAATACAAGTTTTTACAGAAAGATTATCACTTAGGTTAACACTCTTCTTGGATATTTATGAGATCTTGCTGAAGTTAGAGGCCCTCACATCTTAATGCATTTGCAAGGCTGAGTACTGAGTAAGTGAAGAAAAGTGTGGTATATGCAAAGGGATATTTAATCTTCCTGATTTCTCCAGATTGCTCCTCTGTGCAGAAAGAAAACACTTCACCCAGTGGACTGTCACTTTTCTCTTGGCCTAACTGAACTCCATTTCTTTTTTCATTCAGGAATTAGGAAAATGTTTCTGTGATTTCACTGAATTTCCCTGGGAACATTTTCATGTTAAAGCGAATACAGCTGCTTTGTCTGAATATTTTTAATTTGTAGTGCTTACATATTTAATAACTGTTAAATATAAATATCTAGGTGAGTGGAATAACTTTATTTGGGATGTCGGTTTTTTCATTAGAAAAGGTTTTGTTCTTCATATGACTGCAATAGTAACTGTATTTACTAAAGATGTAAGTCAAGAGACTGTTAAAAGTGGGTCCATATAAATATTAAATATTAAGCTTTCTGCTGTTTGCTTCATAAAGTTCATTCTTTGCTTTCCTGGTTTTGGGGACATGTTTAATGTTTCAGCAATATTGTATATACAAGATACTTGAAGAAGGTACAGTTATTTAAAAAGCAGTATTTGACTACGAATCAGGCAAATTAAAATATCAGTTATTATCTCCCAACAGATTTTACCTGATTAGTGGTGGAGTTCCTTTTATTATATGTGGGATTACTGCAGCAACCAATATCAACAATTATGGGATTGAAGGCAATGCACCATAGTAAGTATAAACTATTACCATAAAACTTTTAAGGAAAACATACTCTTTTTCTTATGCTGATAAATGTTAACTGACTTCATAAAGGATAGAGACATGCCATGTCAGATGACATTTATTATGAAATTTTATTAAATAATAGCTATGAAAGAGCAGTGTCTTAATCTGGGGCTTGCTGCTTCTCCTCTATCAATTTGACTCTATTACAGCCAATAGAATCACTTTTTATTTACAGAATTACTCCTCATTTAAATCCAAATAAGTGAAAGGATATTAAAAATACCTAATGGATAGCATATTTAATGGAGCTACTAATTAATTAAATACTTTCAATTCATTATGTACCTTGAATTGATATCCTTCAGGTGACTTATTTAAAGTAATTTACAAATAATTATCTGAAAAAAGGACAAGTAAAAATCCCTCCTCCCCTTCCTCCACTCCCATCTCCCCCTTAAAAACCAATTATTTTGGCTTTTCATTACCTGCAAATGTTCCAGTCACAATGTCTTACAATCCTGACATAGCCCTGTAGTGTACTAGTGTATTAGTGTTCAGTATATGTCAAGAAGCCATCCAGGCATCACTTCGTTATTAATTCTTGGCATGAAACATGAGGTATCAATAAAGTACAATAAGTCTTTCCATAAAAGTTAGCAGAAAATTAATCAGACTCCAAAGTTAAATACATTCTGTGTAAATGATCAGCATGGCACTGACTGGCACACTAAGGGATATATTACTACTCTGGAGGACATCACTCTTAGTTACTGCTTTGAGCATCTATTGTAATACAATTGAAACTGGTTATGTTCTGGGTAAGAAAAGTGGAAACAAAGGAGAATGGTTTGTAAGGGAGCATTTGGCTCCTTGAAGGCATTTTTTAGGTAATTGAAATTTAAATTCTGGTAATAAATTAGTACATACCATGGCTAACTGTTTGCTCTGCCTAGGGCCCAACTCATATTCATATATTTATTCAAACTTATCCAATTAAACAGTCACTTATAATCAACAGTGTATTAAAAGACTCAATTATTTATTTTCATAAATGTGAGACTTTTTCATTTTGGCACAGTTACAGAGGTTATACTTCTTTAATCATGTTAATCATAGTCAATCAATACCTGATACCACAGTCTGTACAGAAAACAAGGCACAGGTGAGGGATGGTTATAAGACTGAGTAAAAAGACAGCTTCTAATTCAACAACAGCATAGTGAGTTATATCCTTATTCATTTTTAATAGTATTAGTATAGTACATGTAGATGCACAAACTTGAATATTTTTTTTACTGAACTGATTTTTTAAGTGATCCACAATGAGATTCCACTTGAAATAAGAGCATCCCAAGAGACAGTTCCACTGGGGAGCATTCCGTTCTCCACTTTGCATCAAATATGCAGCATTCAAATGTACTTCAAGTATTCATGTAGCTTTGTGCTCTCTACTTATTCAATTAAATATAGGTGGGAACTTACCTTTCTTTTCACAGATATCTTTCAGGGAATCTTTTCATGTGCATGTCTGACAGCAAAATATATGCTCCTTGGAGTCTCTAAGTTCATTAACAGATGTGTGTATGTTTTTGTTTAAGGTTCAGATTTAAAAAATTTAAAGTAGTTTTTGCAGTTTCTTGTGATAAATACCCAGTGGACTGCCTCTTTTTAGCTGAGAGGTTCTCAGCCTGGGAGAAAAATTCATTCTGCTCTTTTTATAGTAAGTTGTAGATGATTCCTGGCTTGACAAGAATGTGGTATCTTTGCTGTATTGAAGGCACTGCAACCAATCGCACACGCCTAAATAAGTATGAAGTGTCACACAGTGTCATTTTTAGAGCTGGAATGGATCATGACAGATCACCTGGTCTGTCTTTCTGACCCAGTGGGAAATTAGCTATATCCAAGCCATTCCTGACAGTTATCTATCTGAGCTGCTTTAAATGCTCTGATAATGGATAGACCTTCGTTTATACCAACAGCTTATTACCCTAATTGTCCTAACAACTGGGAAATTTTTTGAAAAATCTAATTTAAATCTTTCTTGCTGCAGTTTAAGGTCATTACTTCTTGTCCTAGCCCAACAGATAAGGAAAGTAACTTATTCCTCTTTCCAGAAATCCATACAATATTTAGAGTATAAGAATCTAGTAACAGCTGTACTAGCTTATACTGCCAGCTCAGTTCCCTGTCTATAAAAGCAGATCATAGTGAAGAGTGAAAACTAGGCATATAGTCCTTCTCCCCCGACCCAAGTTCTCCCAGTTTCCACCTGGGATTTCATTAGCCAGAAGTGTTTTCTTCCCCTATGTTTATTTGATTAGATCAATTATCCTCAGGACAGTCCTGTTACACTGCTACTAAATTATGCAGCTGACTGAGGCTTATTCAGCTCATACTGGCCTGTGAACTACTTTATGCTGCTCTAAAACAGTTATGGTTGTATTATTTAAAGCCTAACAAGCAATGATCCATGCTACAATAATATTATGCTACCAGTGTATCACAAAGAGAACATCAATTTCCTTAATTTTTCTGAGGACATTCAAATTGATGTAAATTAACTCTCAGGAATTTCAGAAACAGTGCAGAATTCAGAAATGGCATATATCTTTTGGGTCTGCTCACTGCAGAAAGCGGTGACTGTTCAACCAGAAGCCTTTTTTCAGCCTCTCTTATTACTCAGGCTGTTCTCTACTTGGGCAACAATAAAATTCTGTAAGAACAATCTTCTGGCTTAAAAGTTTGTATCGAAGTTCATTGATACAAACCATTGAAATCTGTACATTTCTATTGCTCGCACAGATTGTATAAACTATGCCTCATTTACTTTTTAATCAAAGTATTAGTGCTGACGTTTTTAACAGCAGAGGAAAGGGTTGTCATAAACAGTCTTATACTTCACTGCAATTCTAGATTCTAAACTGACCTACATTTCTTGGAATTTTTCAGCTTTAATATCCTGTAATTTATACCAGACATTTTATTCTATGAAAAATACAAAAGTCATGCCTGAGTTTAATTGACAGTAAAGACACACTCTCTTTCTGCACAACAAACATACCCAAACTTCTGAGACATTGTTGGGTCATACAAGTTAGTCAGAAAGCCCAGCTTCACATCAGTCAGTCATCAGTCGTATCTCACGTGGACTATAAAATATTCTTGACTCTCTTTTTTTGTTGTTTTCAGTTGCTGGATGGCATGGGAGCCTAGTCTTGGTGCTTTTTATGGGCCAGTAGCGTTCATTGTGCTAGTCACCTGTGTTTATTTTCTCTGCACGTACGTGCAACTGAAGCGCCATCCTGAACGCAAGTATGAGCTAAAGGAAAAGACAGAAGATCCACAGAGAATGCCAAGTACAGAGGTGGGCCATGGTCATATTACAGACTCTGTAGCTGTTCCCCAGGCAACCTGCTCCCTGCTTTCTTCTTCCTTATTGGAAAATGAGCATTCATTTAAGGCTCAGCTTCGAGCTGCAGCATTCACTTTGTTTCTGTTTACTGCCACTTGGACCTTTGGAGCACTTGCAGTATCTCAAGGTCATTTCTTGGATATGATATTTAGCTGTCTTTATGGAGCCTTCTGTGTGACCTTGGGGCTTTTCATCCTGATCCATCACTGTGCAAAGCGAGATGATGTGTGGCATTGCTGGTGGTCCTGTTGCCCATCTAGAAGAAACACCTATTCTGTCCAAGTTAATGTGCGCCCAAAGGTTAATGTCAATGGTGACACTCAAGTTCATGCACCTTGTCTTCAGGAATCACCATGTCCCAACAAATCAGCTGTGTTTAATCACCCATCAGCTAGCCACTGCAAACTTAC